CTCAAGTACAGACATCTAGCGGCCCGGAACCCTGGACAGAAGCATCCGTCGCCTCTGCCGGTCTGAGGGGTCCGAACACGCCAGCGATCTGGGCATGTCAGCTGTCGGGGCTTGGTCTCTGATGCTTAGCTTTGGTCCTGTAGCTTGGGACAGGCTTGCCTCACTCTCGAAAGACCTGTAGCTCCTGTATGCTAGCATGCGAGGTTGTAAGTGTCGGGGGGATGTGTTGCCACCTGGATTCTAGACACCAGCGGACAAAGTGCCTCGCGCTCTGCTGCTGCTAGAACGAGTGCTCGGTGATTTTCGCTGACGTCCTGCATGCATCCATATGTGATTCATCAATAGAGGGGGCATGTCTCTAGGTGCATGTATGCAATTAGGTGGATAGTCATGTAGGTATGTAAACCCGCTTCATGCAAATATGTCTGTCCGTCCGTCGGTGGGTCGGTCCCCATCTGTCCGTCCTTTCCGCACGTACTGTGTGCATGGATGTACGTATGTATGTACGAACGTGCGTACGCATGTATCTGTAACGTAACTTAACGTATACCATGCGACCAATGCAGGCTACATACGGGACTGTAAGTTTTAATGCAAATCAACGCACATTTTACAATCTCGGCGTGCAAGTATACGTGCAACAAGTGAATGCAAAATGCAATGCATTTATGCACGTTTGTATGCATGTGCGTAGGAAGTGATACTGCCCCATCGTTACTATATCTTGCCGTTCCAGCATGTATGGTGTCTTTAAGTACAACTTGCTGCGTTTCTAGCTGGCTATGGTCTGTGTATGTGTGTGTGTGTGTGTTGAGATGTTCGTTGGAAGCGGTTTTCCACTACAGACATTGGTTTGGCTGTTAAACCGGGTCTTCTCCCAGACAGGTGCCTTCTGTCAGACAAGGCTGCTGCAACGTCTCCTCTAGAATGGGCAGACAATGAAACTCTTGAAGACACTATTTTGACAAGTAGTGTACAGCTGGAACTGGCAGAGAAGTCCTCTGGACTGATGGTCCATTGCACCACGTCCATGCCTCCGAATCACAAGGATTCTCTGCGGGACAGCACTAAGCCGCAAGGAACCTTTGCATTTGTGAAAGCACTCAACCGATGCCGTGACCGTCACGACAACAACGGCCTGGCAGAAAGCTCTCCTCCAGTACTTAGGCTGCCTCTTGACCCGCTTGTTCTTGCCCTCCTAATTCTCCTGATACTGAAGTCTACCAGGCAAGCGTGTGCTGGCTACAGTCACTGCAGTCCGAAGGCTTGGACTGCGACGAGATCCGCTAGTGAAACCTACTCACAGACGAGCACGCCCTGGGGCACGCACATGACGCCGCGAAAGGGAGCATGTAGTTTGCCTTGGGCTCCGGTCTCTGCATCCCCACCTGGCTCGTCCCTTCTGGCCGAGAAGCAATGTCGGACCAGAGGAGAGCTGCCTCGAGGTCTCCACGGAGAAGGGCCAGTTGCGAGCACATGATGAACGTGCCTTGAAAGCGCAAAATTAAAAAACGTCCGGAGGCTTGCAGACTTGCTGCTTGGTATCTCAGCTTGAAGTAGGGCCATTGGGGAGAAGTGAAGTTGCTTTCGACTTCAAGCTTCAAGTGCTAGAACTCAAGTCGGCCGATCCGGGCTCTTTTCAGACACAGCCGCTCATCTGACCGGGTGCACAATCTGTCGCCGCTGCCGTGGTCGCAGTCCAGCCCAAGCTATTCTCCTCCTGCAGTTTGACACTTCTTGGATCTGCTGCAGCAGGTCGGCGGGCAAGCACGGCACCGGAGATTCTGCAGAAGTCGGAATGATCTGATGCACACCCTAATCCATGAAATCTTTATGTGAACAGTGGTATCGCAACTGTGCATGTGACATTGATCTTGCTTAGTGCCGAATTTGCTTACACATACAGCAGAAGGGAGCGAAATAAAAAAGACTATTTCTTTCGTACATGAAGCGATTTCCAATTTCCCTCCTTCTGCAAGTCTCGACAGGAGTCGAAGGTGATGGCCTGCACGAGCACGATGAAACAACGAATTCTGGACATTAACGTTGCCACCACAGCTAGCCTCGCGGATGCCAGAGGTTTCGTCCATCGCCTGTGCGGTTCAACAGCCAATCGTCCGCTGTAGTGAGACCGTCGACTCGACATAGCTACATGGAACTAAATTCTGCATAGAATCATGCGTACTAGATACATGTATTATGACCGGCCCCGTAGTGTGTGATAAAGCGAGCATCGGGTACTGCGGCACATGAGGTGGATCTTGGGGATACGAGTGTACAATTCTGCACAAAAGCGTCTACTACACTCCTTGGAATAATCGATCCTTGGACATGCACGTGGCAAACCATAGTAGTTCGTAGGCTACGAATTCAGTATTTCAAACAGGGTTAGATGGCAATGCTGAAGAAGTAAAGACTGTTGCGAGTACGTAGCAGGTTGAGCGGCTCAAGCTGCAGCAAAAGTGTCATGGCCCCGTCGATGTATCATAGATTTGGGGAATCGGCCTTGTCTGCAAAGTCTTCCGTAAACCTGGCACGAAGCGCCGGATCTCTAATGAATGCACATGAACATCGTCGCTGCCTCTGCGCACCCTACACTTACAGCTGCCAAGCACCCCAAGAGCACCAAGCTGGTCAAAGCCACGCGCGGGAGATGACCAGCTGCATCTGAACCCAGTGCTCGTAGAAGATGTGACAGGCACAGCTGTCCAGCGGGAAGTCCTGGGCTCTCGAAATCCGAGACTCTGAGCAGCCACGAACCCCACTGCAGGCAGGACACGTACTGAGCACGAACATTCGCAAGAACGAGCCCTCCACAAAGAAGCCGTTGAGCCCATCGCCATCCCATCAGAAAGCAAGGGAAGCGCAGGAATCTCAGGAGGCCGCGGAGGACTTGTCAAGGCTGCTTAAGTAACTGCTCAAGTGATCGGGGCGTCTGATCATGTTTACATTCTCGATGTCAGGCTGGCCCCTGTGCTGAAGAAACGCGGCTGAGACGGAGCTTGCACAGAGTTCTCCCATCTGACTTGCCCGATTTGTGCTGTCGCTCTTGATGACAGCTTGCGGCATCTTCCGGCTCTCATGTCTAGAGTTGTTTGAGTCATGGGCAGTGAACGCCCGAGTCTGCCTGTTTGAGCACGGGAGCTGCCGTGAAGCACAAGACCATGTTTTGGTTGGACAACCCTGCACTTGCCCAGGGGCCGGCGAACCTCTGTCATGACCCTTACAATCCTGCGTCGACGACCAAAGCCCCCGCGCAGTCCCATTCCCTTAAACGTAGATCCTTCGGTGCACTAACCTTGGTTGTGAAAGGAAGCTACCTGTCGATACCCACCTGACTTCCGTGCGAATACCAGACTACGTCAATATATCAGGACGCCCAAACCCCTTGGCTCGCCTTGGCGCCGAACTGGTTCCCGCACCAGCTCGGGCTCGACAACCCCCTCCTTTTGACTGAACCGAAGGCATGTGTCCAACTGCTCGACACTCGGGTCAGGTGCCGATATAGGCCCGTGACTGCGAGCTTGTCACAGCGCAACTTTCGCTGGCTAAGAGTCCCACCCTTCAGTTTCAAAGCACCGGCAAACCAGCTAACATCATGCAGCTCTCTCAAAAAGCAGTATGCTGCAGGTCCGGTGTGTTCGGGTGAGTTCTCTTCTGGCTCCTCCTCATCGACTCGCAGCTCTTCGTAGTCGTCCATTTGCTGGCGCACGTCCCTGGAAGCGGAGGCATTAGGACTCGGCAGGCATGCAACACCCCTTCGAGAATCACAGCATGAAGGCCTCGCAGTCATTGCTTGAGACGCTGATGCAACCCACTGTAGCTTGTGCCAGATGGCCACAGATGGTCAGGGCTGCGGGACAATGCGAATCTTCGGCAACTGCAAGGGGGAAACCTGATCCCTAAGTTGGAGAGTATTCATGAACTCAAGGCCACGAACTGGTCATCACCCTCTAAATAGCCCAAAAACTCCGGGCTCTTTGCTTCAAAATGTCGCAATACTTGCGAGTGCACCTCGCCCGAGCGAGAGAAGGCTACGGGCTTGGTTCCACTTCGGGCGCTTTGATTAGAAAATAAGTGATGTTTGGACGAAACACGGGTGTTCGACAAGACTCTGAGCGTCCCGCCCTGCCAGACACAGGTCAGCAGAGTGCTTCGCGGACTGCCTAAGTGGAATCCGAGCACGTGGAGGTCACGACCCAACTGCATCGCCCCAGCAAAAAAGTCAGACGGCTCTCCTGTATCGAAATAACAGTGGTTACTGGATGCTCTCGGACTGGACTGTGCTCGTCAGCTTTGCGCGATCTGGTCCATTCTTTGCTGCGGCAGGATTTAATGAGTGTTCCAAGATCTCGAAACCTCGCTCAGGGCTACCCAACTTTCTAGCCACAAATGTTTTCCCAGTGACCTCACCACGATAACACCCGTGACCTCACCACGACAACACTAACACTCCATCACTCTATCTGCTGTACTACTACCTTCTCAAACTCCACCTAGAAGCGGTCGATTCAGGCGTTGAGAAGCAGACCATGTCCCCAATCTCAACCCAGCATGGAAGACACCTTCCAAGATCACCTCGGCGAATGCTTCGAAAGAAGATTAGCTTCTCACCCTAGGTCCTGTGCTCACACACAGTAGGTCGAAGCCATTTCGAACATTGATCAGTGTCTCTTTCTCTTCGCTCTGTGAGGCGAGGTCCGCTCTCGCGGCCTCCGGGCCGGCCAAAGGTCTCTCTCTCTCGCTCTCGCTCTTTCTCCCTCGCCCCTCGCTCCCTCGTTCGGCCGTCCGAGACCAGACTGGCAAATGTGGCCAGCACAGGCAAGGCTACGCGGCTACGTGGCATCACGCACGCAGTTTTGTTCGCATGGGACGCTGCAAAAAAACAGCCAAAGCCTGCTGCGAACTATGGCTAGCAAATCAGAACATCGCATTGTTCTCAGCTGGCCTGCAGAGCCCCGTCTACTTCAAATCTCTGTATCACAGAGATGGCCCCTGATCTACGACGAGCTGTCGACGGGCACGATCCCGGCTTTGCGGAAGACCTCACGAGCTCGCTCAGAGAAGTCTTGGTGCTCCTGCAATCAGAGCTTCTCTCAGAGACGCGAGCGAGATGAGTGCTGATCCTGCCTTACCGGAGTGTTGCGAAAGGAGATGTGAGGCAAGGCATCGAAGCGTCTCGTGTCAGTTTCTCCTCTGGAGCGATGCCCTCGTTGGTAGCTTCGTCGCGTAGATGCTCAGACCTCGCCTTCCGTTGGGGGCACTAGGCGCTACGGACCCGAACCTCGTGGCAGCTCACATCCACGCGATGCAGAAAGAGTGTATTCTGCGACGCGCAGGTAGGGACAGCGGGAGTGGATGAAGCTTTATCACCCATTTGTTGGGATCACGCGGCATCCAGAGCAAGCCCAAGCCCCCTCTCAGCGCCTGGAGCTCCAACAGCTCCTCCGAAACCTGACCACAGATGCCAGGCTGCGAGGCGACTATAACACGAACTGTGCGTACAACAGTGTTCGAGCAGACCGGCTGAAACACTCAGATCCGGGCACTCGTCTCCCAAGCCGCGGCATCCCGCAAGACCGAAACCGTCATCCAGTCCTTCCAGGTATTTCCAGCAACTGTGGGAAGTCTTGTCGATGCATCACGACACACTAGAGCCCCGCCTCTTCTTCCGGGTTTGCTACCTCCCTGACCGGCATCACGACAGTGTGGAAACCTGGCCAACAAGTCATCTCGCTGCTTGTTTTAGTAAACATCATGACGAAGTGATGAATACTCAGTCTGACGACAACAACCACAAACACAAGAAGAAGAACTGGAAGAAGCAGAACACTAGCCTTAGGCAGCAGCACCATCGTCATCAACAACAACAACAACAACAACAACAACAACAACAACAACACTATCAGAAGCATCACCATCGCCATCGTCACACTGACCGTCCTCATCATCATCGTCATCATCATCATAACCAACATCATCCTCGAGGGGAGACAACTGGGCCTTGGAAAACAGATGTTTTTGTCGAATCTACTGCGCATGCCACACGAAACAGGCTTCTGATCGCAAAAGTTGACAGCATGGTTTATTTTTGCGTTTACAGTTTGAAATTGCTTCAAACTGAAGTTTTGGACACGCTGGTCGCTGATTTCGGCTTGGCAAGGTTCTTGCAGGGGAAGGAGGAGATTGCAAGTAGCACTGGCGAACATACCGGAAATACCACGCCTGTCACACGAAAAAGCGCTAAACACAGGATTGAGAATCCACTGAAGCAAGCAGTTTGTTTGATTTGAGGTGAGATAATATGAGACGGTATGGGATGGTATCCGATGATCTGAGATGATATGAGATGACATGATGGTCTGGGATAGTACGAGATGATATGAGATCCAAACTAAAACGCAAGAAAAAACATGCTGTCAGCTTTCGCAAGAAGAAGCCTGTTTCGTGTGGCAGGCGAAGCAGATTCGACATCAACTACATGCACACGACCATGAAGAACAGC